TGATGGTTTATATGGTGGTCGATCTTTGGCGTTGAAAAAATCAACAAAGTTTTAGATTAGATTTTTCTTCAACAAAAAAAAAAAATAAGAAAATCTGATAAACAAACAAACAAACAGAAAATTGGATTACATAAATTTTTTTTTGCCATTTGACATAACCTAAAACTCAAACCAGATGTATGATGATCTAATCAACGACAAAACATTTGAATGTAAAGATTTGTTTGTCAACACACAAACACACACATATCGCGTACCGATAACCAAACAAGGTCATGACCGGTATGACACAAATACTACGCCCACAGGTCATTTTTTTTAAATAAACAAAAAAGGGAAAAAACGAAAATGAATTTTGAATATTTTCAACCGAACACAATCGATATCGATATTTATCATCGAAGAAGAAAAAAAATGATAAAAGAATTTTCAACAACAAAAAAAAAGAAAAAAAGATTCGCCCTTTTAAGAATGATCAACAAAGACATCATCCTGATCATTCAATTGAATTGAATTGGATTCCTGTTGATAGGCTATATGATCGACCAAAACCCAAAGAAAAATGAAAATGATTCTTTCTTTCGTTGATCATCATCATCATCATTCATACTTCTGACCTTTTTTGTTCATTCATTCAATCAAATGTTCATATTTTTTTTATTATCTATTTCAATTCAATTGATTGAATGAATGTTTTTTCTCGCTGGCTGGTTGTGTGGGAGAGACAAGAGATATATTTTACGTTTGAATGAATGAAATCAAAAAGAAAAAGGTCAAAGTTCATCATCATCATCTAATATACGATGAACAACATCATCATCTTTGAATCGTAATTTTTCTTTTGTGATGAATGAATTTCGTAAGAAAACGAAACCGAAATTTTACAAAAGAGAGTGGGAGAGAGAGAGAGAGAGAGAGAGAGAAGAAAAAAATTGAAAGGAAGTAAGTAATTAGGTAGGTCAGCCATCGATGATGATGATGATGATGATCGACAATTTGAAAGAAAATCGAATCCAAATTTGAAACAAAACACGGAAAAGTTTTTTGTAAAGAAAATTTATCCAACAAAAATTAACGAAAAGAAAATTTCCCGAAAACATTGATCACATTCAAATCAATCGGAAATCATTTATTACCAAATCAATACAAATTTTTTTCTTTCCTCACTAATATTACCTTAATTTTCTTTTTACATTCATTCATTTATTGATATTAAAATTTTTCAAAATTTTCATTATTTACGTACAAAACACACACGCAGACATATAAGGAGATAAAAATAGGAGGTGCCTAATCACCATCGTGAACAAGCAACATGTGTTCCATTCATTCATATTTTTTTCCATTGATGATGATCATCATCATAGTCGATCGTTGTTGTATTTTTTTTATTATTTTCTTACATTCAATGGTCGTGGCTAAAAATTTTATTTAGGGAAAATTGTTACGAACATAGAAATTTATGGAGAATAAACGATGGCCATGATCGGTGTTGGTGTTGGTGGTGATTTTATTTCAATGAAAAGATTCAACTTCATTTCATTTCATTACATTCAGTCAATTGGTCATAGTCGATCATAGAGTTTTTAGAATGAAATTTTTATGAATGAAAATTTTTTCTGAATGTTTTCTGTTCTTCTGTGTTCATTTTTTCCGAATTGAATTTTATGAATGAAATTTTTTTTTCTTCCATCTTTGAACATCAATTAACCAATAACCGAAATGGAATCGGAAACAACAAAAATGTCATTATTATCAACAACAACAACAACAACAACAAATATCGATGATGATCAACAACAATTAATTTATCAATTACATATCAAATCAGATCAAATTATCGATACCGACGATATACAAAGGACAACAGCAGCCGAAGCATCCGATAATAATCAACAAAATTTTTTCAATTTTAAAATATTACGTGATATGATTAAAATGATGATGATGACGACGAAGAATAATTTTAATCAACAGTGCAAACAACAACAACAACAACAACAATCATCATCAACGACAACAACAACGACAACAACTACAAATAAATTTAATTTTGTTATAATTATATCAATAATATCGATTATAATTTTATTAATTATATCAATGTGTTCAACAAATGTTTATTGTATGGCTCAATATAATAATTATCATAATGATCATAATGATCATAATGATCAACAACAACAACAACAACAACATAATCATCGTCATCATCATCATAATCATCATCAACAACAACAACAACAACAAAATCAATCAAATAATCTAATTACAATTGTACAGCAATTAAAATTATTAACAAATCCATTAATTTATAATCGATTAAAACAACAACAAAAACAACAACAAAACAGTCATCAATATTATCGATTTCCATTACAAACAACAACAATAAATAAAAATCAAAATGAACAAAATGAAACAATAAAAAATTTTGAATCAAATCAATCATTTCCACAATTATTATTACAACAAATGATTCGACAAAAAATGAATTCAATCAGACAACGACGAAGGCATCGTCATACATATTATGATCATCATCATCATCATCATTCGATGGTTGATAATATTAATAATAATAATAAAGAATCAAATCGAAAAAAATCATCAAAAAATGGTCAACATCGACGTATGGCAAGATTAATTGATCAACAATCAACAACAACAACGACAACGAATAATAATAATGAAAGTGTTCAAGCAAAAATTATCTATGAATTAGATTGGGTAAGTGTATCGAATCTTAAAAAACAAAAACAAAAAACATCCATAATATCAGTGAATGAACAACAACAAAAAAAAGCAACTAAGAATGAATGAACGGGAAAAAAAGCGCGCCAAAATTTCCAACCTTGTTGTTCTTTAGTTTAAGAATTTTACTGTAAACAAGCAAAAATACATGGGAAAAAAATTGATAGCAAACATTCATTGAAAACTTATCGTCTAAGAAAGAAATAGGAGAAAGTAAGTGAGAGAGAGAGAGAGCGAGAAAAAAAACCGCTATTTTCTTGAATAACGAATGAAAATAGCCATTGGTCAGTGTGTATAACTTAGACAAATACATACATACACACACAGTAAACACACACGTGTTTTATTTAAGGGAAAATTTTGTTGAAACATTAAAATGGACTTCAAACCAAAATTATAACATATGGCGACCAGCATGTTCAAACGATTTTTATAATCGAAAAAAAACAAGTGTTCATCGACTATACCAGAAGAACCAGTGATAGAAAGAGAAGAAGAAAAAAACACCACAAGGTGTTCATTTTCTTCAAAATTTAAGTTTTGGCTTCAAAGAAAATGAAAGACCCTACCATTCTAAAAGAAGCACAGGACCAGATCAATTAGGTCAAAGAACAACCAGAGAACCAAAAAATAATGATTTCAAATAATAAAAAAAAAAACGATAATGACAGGTGGCCCAGGTTTGAATTTTCTAATTCACAATGAATTTTTTATTTCAAAAAATTTTGATTTCGATGTTTTATTTTTGTAGTCGAAAATCAGAAGATAAATTTTAAAGTTTTTCAACAACAACAACAACAAAAAAAAATTACCATTCACCCTACTCTATTTAAAAACAAATTGTCTCCCATCGATCGAACGATCGATAGATGATCATCATCATCATAATCGTCAATGATAATGATGATGGGTGGTGGTGGTAGTTTCTTCCAAGAAAAAAAAGTAAGAAAATGAAAATCTTTAGATTTTCATTTTCTTTTGAACACACAGTCTATCGGTAAGGAGTGTTTAAGTGTATAAGGCTAACCTTATGTCATTTACAATTGCAAAATGCAAATTTAGCCATTCATTCGTTCATTCATTCAATCATAATGTGATTTCCAAGAAAATTTGAATAAGAAAATCTTTTCTTCTCGGTGATTTAGTATATATCATAGAGGGGCTATGGAAGACGAGAGAAAAAACCAATAAAATAACCTGAAAGGTAGAATCATCTTTGGTTTTGCTTCTTGGTCCAATATCACCGCCAATAACCCGTGCACAGTTTACACGTGCTCGAGAAATGGAAAAAAAAATCTCTCACGGTCATAATAAGAAGGTCTCGGTGGCTGCGGCCGCCCATTCATTTAACCAAAAAAATCTTTTGATTCAAAATTTTCTTCCTATATTCCCGATTGATTGGTTTTTTTCTTTTTTTTTCTGGTAAAAATAACAAATTTTAAAAAACTTACAAAATTCTGAATCAATCATCATCATCATCATCATTTCACGATAATAAAGAAAAAAAAAGATTTGACTTTTTGACTTATTTTTGGTAAAAGGAAAAAGTAAATAAGAAAAAAAATAGTCAGTCAAAGAACAACAAAATAATAATGATAATAATAATAAAAAAAACCAAGCCAGACAAGACAAAAGTCGAGACAAAAAATGATTGAATATTCGGTGTGTCACCATATATATCGACCTTCGACACATTTTAAGTGAAGAAAAAAAAAGGTAAAAAGTATACTAATAAATTTTCCAATGACGACGCGTCATTATTATTATTATTATCATCAAATAATAACCAAAAAAGACCATAGTCGTAATAGCCGCGTCGTCTAGCATACGATCGATGATTATTGATTGAATCAATGATAAAAAAAAAAGGGTTTCATTCAGAAAAAACAAACAAACAAACAAACAAAAATTGATTTTCGTTAAAAAAACAAACACCATACATATCCGATTTTTGACTTTTAAAAATTTAAATTTAAAATAAGATTTAGTTGTTTGTTTAACTTCAGTCAGGTAGAGTATTTTTTTCTTTGAAACCAAACGAAAACTATGGACTAAACTATCTTGTTTGTTGAATAATATATGGGGAGAGAAAATGAGTGAAATTTTTTTTTCCAAAAATGATAAATCGATCACCAAAAATCTAGATATCAATCATCATTTGATTGATATGATTATAAGTGAAAAAATACAAACAGCTGCATAAAATTCGTTCATTCGGAAAAAAATATATCCGAATCATTCTATAAAATGATTCTATTTAGATCAGTGAAGAGAGAAGAAGAAGAAAAAATCAATGATACAACAACAACAATTCATCAACATCGATCATTTCATTTGATTTGAATTGTTCTTTGCTTTTACATTTGAAATTTATTGTGAAAAAAACACAGGAAACATCATAATCATCATCATCATCATCAATAAACGATGTAATCAATCAATTCTTTTTTGTTTTGGTTTTGTTTCGTTGGTTGTTCAAATCGATAAATGTCATTCAATTTTAAAAAATGTTTTTTTTAAGAAAAAGAAACCAAAATCAAAGCAATTTTCAATGGAAAAACTTTTGTATTCAAAAGGTTCAAAGGTCAAATGTAATAATAACATACACACATTCAAAAAAAAAGTTTTCCCACAATCAGCCAATATACTGAAAGAAAATAAGCATGACAGGTGTGTGTTGCACGTACCAAAAAACATGTACCCAATTTATCTATGTCATCATCATTTATAAACACGTATTATTTATAGAAATAGAATAGAAAAATTCATTCAAATACACCTGGCTTTGGTTTATCATTATTGATTGATAAATACAAGAATCAAATCAAATCAATCAATCAATAACCAACAGTGAAAAAAAAACTAGAACAAAATCCTGATTACAACAATCATCATAATGACCATAAATAGATGTAGGACAGGTGTGCGGCGACAGTAGTTAGTTGTTTTTAAGTAAGGTAATTTCCATTCTTCTTTCCTCTCGTTTATTTTTGTTGTTGTTGTTGTTGTTATTGTACTAATTAGATCAACAACAAGATTAGTAATTTTTTTAGGAAAACGAAACAATTGTCATACACTAAAGTCGAAATAGACCGATTATCTAATAATTAATCATTCAATCAATGGTTTTCTTGACAACAAAAAAAAATGAGAACGCCTACGCTTTTAATCAAATAAACAGTTTTATACAAATTAGACAACAACAAAACTTAAAACATCATTCAAGAAAGTGAAAAGTTTTTTTTGCTTTGCTTTTCTTAAATCACTAAAATAAACAAATTGTAAAAATTTCCTTAATTGGTCACCATCATCAAAGATCCAACAACAAAGTTTTTTTTCGTTTGTCCATCATTGATGTTGATGGTTGTTATATGATGATATATGACCATAGAAAGAAGCAAAAAAAACTATTGAATGAACTTTTTTTTTCCTACAAATTTCCTGTTACAATTCATGTAAAAACGCGCCTACAAATGAAATTTTAGAGTGAGAATAACTACAACGAAAAAAAAACGGTATTCATTCAAGAGATAAATTTTGGAAAAGAAATCTTTGGAAACGAAAACGATCCAAATAAAGTCTTTAAAGTCAGATCTAATCGGATGTGTGTGTGTGTTGCCGGCACGTTCCAAAACGAAGAAACAAAAAAAACAAGCAATAAATGTTGTTTGAAAGAAAATCTTCAATCACATCCTACACACAGACACAAACACACTCAAAAAAAAAGAATACTTGCATTTTTATATTTGGTCAACAAGAACCTACACACAAATTGAGTAAATGAACATATACTATTCTGATATATAGTAAACACGTGCAAAATTTGATTTTTTTAAATGTATTTTTTCAAAATGTTTAGATGAAATCTGATAATGATCTGCCTGAATGTGAATTGAATCAAGTTTGTAATAAAATCGATACATATTCAACACCATGGATACAGAAATCATGTCGTTGTCATCGTGAACAATCACCATGTTCATTATCATTAAATCCAAATGATGGTTATACGATAATTGAAAAAAATAAACAATATAAAGTATGTATCATTTTGTTGTTGTTGTTAATGTTATTTGTAAAGCCAAATTTTTTATTTTCTAAATTTAGCTATGTGAACCAATTGTTACAAAAAAATTACCAACATGTCGTTATTTTCGTGATATAACATGGACAATAACTACAACTATTTCGACCAGATCATCATCATCATCATCGTCGGTAAAAGAACCGGAACATCAACAAGAATCAACATATCATCATAATGAAAATATAACTAAACAAGAAATAAAATGTCTTTGTCCAACAAATAGTGAAGCATATATTTTAAAACATCATGTTTATAAAATGGCTAATGGTGAATTAGGTTATCGTTATTATTTTGCTTGTTCACCTGAAACGGTAAGTTTTGTTTTGTTTTGTTTGTTTATCTGTATATATCTTCGAAAGACAAAATAGACAAATCACACGTGTTAGTTTTATTTGTTGCTGAGGTGTGTATGGCGATTGTCAGTATTTTTGAGTACATAATGTATTAACCATCTGTAATATGGTAATGTCCAATAAGAAAAAAAAAGTGTAAACACACCTGGTTGGAGAAAAAAAAATGTTTAATTTTGGAATTATGAAAACAGTGAGAAAAAAACAACAAGAATTTGACCTCACCTTTTTTTTCTCTCTCTCCGGTTACTTTATATCTGACGTAACTGAACAGACAAAACAAAATTCAAATCAGAAAAAAAAGTATTGAGAATATAACCAAACATGTAAATCTATTCGGTAAACAAACAAACACACACACACACCGGTATGCATGAAAATGGCGGGAAAACTTTTTCCATACGTAATAAAATAGTGAAGAATTTTATCCGAATGGATTAATTTTTTGTTTGTTTGTTTGTTAAATAATAATGTTTTTTTACGTTTTTCATTTTTTTCTGTTTGTTATTTTAGAAATTACGTTGTAAACGTAAAGAACCATGTCGTTTATTTACAATACGTAAAGGAATAAAATCATCAGTTGAATCGGTTACAATGAATACATTATGTCAATGTTCGAATGGTTTTGAATGTCCAAATAATCATCGACAAACAATATCATCATCAATAATGATTGGTACAAATTATCCAATTGATAATATACGTACATATAGTGGTTATTGTTATCCAATCAATGATTCTATCATTCAAAATGATTGGTATGTATTTTTTACAAATGAAATTTTTTCTTTAAAAAATTCTAATCAAATTTTTTCTTATTTCATTTCAGGAATGATGATAATAATAATGATTCAAGCTGATTAAATCGCTAAGGAAAATCAATAATAACAACAAACATTGCAATAATGATGATTAAAACGAAAAAAAAAACAAAAAAAATTGAATCAAAAAAACAATTGGATGAACCAAACACACAAAAAACAAAATATCAATTCTGAACCTGTTATTTCTTATTTCTTATTATTATTATTATTATTTTCTTGCTATTCTAATTAATTAATTAATTAATTTTTATGTAAATTGATTAATTAATTAATTTCTGTTATTAATTTATGAGAAAAATTTTTGTAACTTTTTTTTAAAAAAAATAAAAAAACTGGAAAAAAATATACGAATCATTGAACGCCATCTAGTTTGATGGCAAGGAATTATAATTTTTTGAAAAACAAAAACATCAAATTGAATGTCAAGGTAATTTTTTTTTGGTTTTCTTATGGCCAATCAAGGGTGATTGGGGGAAAAAAGAAAAGATTAATTTTTCTTTTCGGACAAATAATAATCATCAAGATGATTATAATAATGGGAATCTAGGTCGAAATGATATGTTTTTTTTCCACCATTCTCATCATCATCAATGAATCAAAGATTTACCATTTTCATTATCCTCATCATAATCATACAATGTTGATTGTAATCATCATGTGAATTTCATTCTGTCAAAAAAAAAACATTATAATTTTCAATGAAAGGATGGAAGATTAGAAGAAGGGGAAAAAAAATCTTTCAATGATGGATAAAGAATGATAATTTGCTATTGTTAAATTTTGATTATCATTCAGGAAAATGGCAATAAATAATAATGACAAATAAGAATGGGAAAAAAAAGAAAAGTCTAGAAGAGAAATTTGTGGATATAGACCAATGATTATGTGTGTGTGTAAATAGCCGAATCGAATAACCGAATAACAAACATAATTATCCGGATATATTAATATCATCATCAACATCAACATCAACGAAATCATGATAATTTTGTTCGAAGAACAAGAAATTCTAGTAGCTAAAAATAATGATGAGATTTTCTTCTTTTATTGAGAGATTTATATGGCTGTGGAAAAGAAAAAATCTTGGTCATTTTCTCTCGGTCAAAAATGATTGTCGATGATGATGATGATGATTAGGATGGTGGTCGTGGCGGTGGGTGAAATGTATATGATACCGTTATTATCATTATCAACATCATCATCATTAAACATAGCCAACATTATCATTAATTTTAACTTCAAATTTATTTTTTTTGTCGATGAGAAAACCAGATTTCGGTGAGATTGAAGAAAAAGAAAAAGAGATGTAAAATTAATGTTGAAAAAAAAAACAAAAATGTTAAACAGGCGGTCAGCGAAAAAATGAATGAATGTTAATTCAATGAACATCGGTTGTCCCAAAGAGAATATTATTTCTTGTTTGTCAACAAATAAAAAAATTTTCTTTTTCTTATTACCCAAATGATGGTACAAGGTCACCATATAAATTTGACATTGATATCATTCTCAACTAATGAACACCTGTGTTTTAGTTCTTGTTCAACAACAACAGCAACAACGATACCGGAGGATCAAAATTGCTATAAATAAACCTTGTCCTGTATTGAAAGAAAAGTAAAGTAAAAAAAGAAAAAAAGAAAATACATTTTTGTTTTACACATCGTGAACATCGTAAATGTATTTTCAAACATCAACATTTTGCTTGTTGAACATTTGTTAGTTTGTTGTTGTTATTTGGTCTTTTTATATCGTTAAAATCATAAATAAAAAATCAACCATCATCATCATCATCATCATCATGAAGAATCGAATAAGAATTTGTTCGAATAAGAAAAATATTTGGATCATACTATCGATTATATCGATTATTGCTATCGATAATGTAGCCGGAAAAACGTTTTTTTCGAATGGTTTGATTAAACGTAATGATCATAATCATGCATTAGGATCATCATCTGGAATGTCAAGACGAATGAAAACATTTTTAACAACATTATTTGATCGTGCTATTGAAATGAATAATCAACAACAACGAGAACAACAAGAACAACAGATAAATCGTTATGGAAAATGGAATGAATTTATTGAAGAACAAAATCTAAAACAACAACAACAACATTCATCATTATCATCAACAACAGCTATTCGAGGTCAAACTTCGATTCCATTAACAACATTAACAGTGATTCCATTATCATCATCATCATCATCATCATCAACATCAATAAATCAAAGTGTTATCGATGAAACAAATGATCCTAATTCACCATATTATATTTCAATGATTAGTAGTAATATTAGTGGTAGTTTTAATCGTTCAAATATTCAAAAAAATTCATCAACATTACAATCATCATCATCATCATCATCATCATCATCACATTCAAATGGTTTCATAACAAAATTATTTAATTATGCATTTTCAACAACAGCACCATCACGTATAATGCTTACAACAAAACGTCCATTAATAACATTTATAAATGTAACAAATCTTGATGAAATGGATTATGAAAAACAAGAATCATCATCATCACCATATATATCATCAAAAATGAATCAATTATCTGAAACATATCAATTATCATTATTGAATAGTGCTGATCCACATTCATCAATGTTACAACAACAACAACAACAACAACAACAACAGCAATCAAAAAAACGTTTACCCGAATGTGCAACACAACAAGTTTGTTCAGCACATTATGTTAAATCTAATCATACACAACGTCTTTGTGATTGTTCAAGAGATTCAAATTTTAATTGTGATGAACAATTAAATGAATTAAATGAAGATCATATTATTGATCTATCTAGAAAACAAGAATTTAAGGTAATTTCAAAATTCTTAAATACTTTTCATATTTCTCATACTTTCATTATTCAACTTCTTTATCCCAAAAAAAAAATCGATTGATCAATCGATTATTGATAGACAAAACGTAATAGTTTAGAAGCATATACACAAGTAAAATTATGTGAAAATCTACATAATTTAAAACCATGTAAAACACCAACCGATTGGACAATAATGGCATTACAATCAGAACGTACTGGTAAAGCACATTTTGTTGTTGTTTGTAAATGTCCGGATTCGGCATCATTTGAAGGACCATTTACACATAAACATCCACCATATGCAAGATTTCCTGGTATTCGTGTATATGGTATGCTTTGTAATCAAGGTATACGAAAATCTAAACATAATCCTAAAGGTATTTATTACTATTCTTTTTTTAAATTGATAATTTCATTCATTTTTTAAACAAAATTATTTTCTTTTTCCAACCAAAACCAAATAATAATAATGATAAAAAAAGTTGCATTAGAAATTGATCTAGAAAAAGGTGGTAATGAATTTCCTGAATTTCCATGGGAATTAGCCTATGCTGTCATCAATTCAACAGCTACACAAGGATTTTGGTAAAATTTATCCAAAAATTTATCATGTGTGTGTGTGTAAATAAAAATCAACCCGATTAACTTATTCTCTTATACTTATATAAAACATATAATCATTATTTTCGAAAAATAAAACAAATAAAATTTAAAAAAAATTGAACCTACCCAAAGCATCGCTATCGATCTGTATGATACAGGAAAACATAGCAGCCATAAGACGTTGTGGTTGTGATTGAAATGCACGACGACAAATTTCTTTTACTGTTGACATTATCTGTCCACTGATTGGACCGAATGGATCAATCATTGTTGTTTCATTATCATTATCATCCAAAGATTCAAGCGATTTCCATTCTTCAACAATAAAACAAACACCCATCATTGGTTCATCACATAATGGACCAGATTGTGTACATAATTGAAAACCATTGATAAAACTATCTTCATAGGTATAACGATTATCATTCGATGATTCTTCTCGTTGTTGTTGTTGTTGTTGTTGCGAAGATTTTGATGGAAAACATTGTTTATGATTAAAATCTTTTAAACAATTAATCAATAGATTTGATCCATAAAATTTTGGTCCCAATGACCATATCCGATCAATTGTATCAGTTGGCCAACCGCCAGCATCATTAAATTGTTGTTCAAGTTTTTTACGTAATTCATTCATTGCTTCACATAAATCAGTCGTAAATATTTCATTCGAATCCATATACGAAGTATTTGTATTGGTCAGAACATTTTTTCGTTGAAATTGCATCATTTGAATCAATATATCACGTGATTTTTCAAGTGTTTCAACAACCGTTTCGGGCAAGGGTTTTGCACGTACTCGAAATAAAAATTTTTTATTCGGTGTCATTTGTTCAATAATTTTGGAAGATTTTTTGCTAACATTTGTTGTTGTTGTTGTTGTTGCTGCTGCTGAAGATGACGATGATGATGACAATGTTACAGATGTTATTAATGTTTTCTGATCGGAAAGTGCTTCATTAAGTGTATCCACTTTAGGTGGTTCGATTATTGTCTCACGAAATGGTACAATCGGATCGGATATATTGAATTCAATATCTTCACCAAGAAAATTAACTAAATCAACTATACATCGTTCAAGATGTACTTCACCGGTAGTAATAATAACATGTTCACCAGTTTCCTGTATTTTAACATCAACACAAGGATCAGATTGATTTAACATTCTTAATGCTTGTGTTAATTTAGATAAATCCCATGGATTTTTTGGCTCAACAGCTACACGTAATATTGGAATACTTTTGGAAATATCATCAGTAAATGATGGACAATAAATAGTTGATGATAATGTTGCAGATTTTATAACATGTGATTGTAGATTTCCGATACCACAAATATGACCAGCATGAACTTCATCCACCGATTCTAAATCACGACCCATTAGTAAATATAATTCTTTTATCTGTACTTTTGTCACATGTTGATCAAAACGAAGATTTGATAATGTTAATTCACAACGATCAATTTCTTCAATCATTTCTTCTGTAATAAGAGATGGATCATGTTTTGGTCCTAAAACATATACGTAATCATTTCGTCTTAATGTTCCGCTAAATATTCGGGCAAAACCAATAAATGTTATCTTTTCTTTTTCTTCATCGATATTTTCAATCTGGTTCTGTTCTTCTTTATGTTCCGATTTTTCCTCTTCACGTTTCATTTTCATTTCTTCACGACGTTTTATAATCTCTTCATGTGTTAATGGTTTGATACGAAATTGTGGCAGTGATTCTTTTGGATAGGAAAACATTTTCGTTACATATGCTATTAATGGTACATTATCTTCGGGCGATTGTTGTGGACGACATTCTAAAAATGCTTGTTTTAACATTTGTGTTTGCAATGGTAAACTATCAAAACGTCGTGTTTGATTAGCGGTGATAAAACGTTCGACTCGTTCTTCATTAATATCACAAGGTGCCGGTACAATATCACAGACAATTCGTAATAATGAACGTGATAATGGTATCCATTGATTGAATAATAACATTAATGCTTGACGATGATCAGAACGATCAACATCACGTGTTTCCAGTGTAACACCTAATGATTGTGCCATTTTAATCATTTCCAATTTATCATGTTCAATCAGAAATTTTTCATAAATTTTTGATAAATTTTCCAATACAAATGTAACAAATAATGGTTTTTTGGCTTTAGATTGTGCACCTTTCTGAATACGTTTTTCTCGAGCATTTAGATAATAATCACCCCACAATGTTTTGGTTAATGCATTAACACTGAAACCTAATTTTGATGATAATATTCGAGCAAAATCGGCAATAGTAAAACCCCAACCATCAATGGCACTGGCAAATAAAACGTTTCCATTTTCTGGTGAAAAATATACACCCGAATCATCAATATCATCTAGACCAGAAGACCAATCATAAAATATCTTTTTCTTTGATATTTGCTTCTCTGTTGTCGCCGTCATTGTAGCTGATTGATCAGATGATTTTTGTTGCTCATCAAAATTGGCATTCATTTTGGCCAACACTTCGGATGCAAACAGCTCTCCAACGAATGCATTCACTTGTTCCAATGTTTGTGTGAGCTGTATATGAATATCTAATGATGATAGCTTTTTTTCAACAAACAGGCGATCTATTTTATTCAGGACAAGAATAGGACGTACACGAGCTAACCATGCTTGTTGTAATGCAGCACGTGTTTGAGCACAAACACCTTCAATAACATCGACGATAATAATACAACCATCACATATTCTTAATGCAGTGGAAACTTCACCGAAAAAATCCACATGACCCGGACTATCAATAACATTTATCAAATGATTTTTAGCATCAGAAGGCATATCTATTCAAATAATGATAATATTTAATACGGAAAAAAATTCAATGAAATATAAAATATAAAAATTACATTTATAAACAAGCGAAATTGATGAACTTTTCATTGTGATGCCACGTTGTTGTTCATCTGGCCGTGAATCCATATAACGTAATTTTCCGGCCATACGTTGTGATATGATATGATTACTGGCCAATAAACAATCGACCAATGTAGTTTTTCCTATTTCATACAAAAATTGAATATAGAATTCAAACATAAAAACTAAATCTTCAATAATAATTACCATGATCAACATGAGCTAAAACACAAATATTTCGAACATGTGAACAATTTGATTGCTGTTTTTTCTGTACAATTTCCGAACATGAATTTGAATCCATCAATAATTAATAGAATGACTAAATAAAATACCAAAATAGTCAATAACAAAACAAAAATTCAATTGATTTGGTTATGAAAAAAAAAGTTTTTTATTAATTGCAAATTGTTGCTTGAAAAAAAAATTGACAAGACATGCATGTCTGTAAACATGTGACCAAAACATTATTGTAAAGAATAAGGTAAAATGATGGACGAATCCATCGATTCAAGAAAAACGTTTCATCAACGTTTTTTGGATAAAAATTTTTATTTATTTTGCAACAAAATATGAGAAAAAAAAATTTATGGCACAATCAGCAAAAAATAAAAATAAAAATAAAATTTCACCAATCACATTGATTTGGTGTTTGATCAATGTTTTGTTTATTGTCTTTCGAATAGAATTGATTAAACCATCGACGAAATTTGACGATTGATTTTTCCGATCTTCCTAAGTATGGTCGTCGAAGAAATGCTTTCCGGTTCCAGATTTTAATGTCACGCATAATCTGTAATGTTAAGATTAATTACTAATCAAATAATATGAATAATATTTACCATTGAAGCCATCGAAAACAAGAGAAATTTAAAGAAAATAAAATTTATAATTGAATTATTAAAATAAAAATTATGAATGATTGAATTTCGCATCGGTCCGATCGGTTTGACCAACTGCAACAAAACACCTTCCATTCCTGTAAAAAGATTACATTTTATACGAATTTCGACATAAGCAGGGCCGATTTGTTGTATATTGAAATTTAATTCAAAGATTTTGAAGCCAAAAATCTTACTAATAGATAAAGTTTCCACAGTTGACATATGTTGATTAGGAGCAGGACATGGACTCCAATTTGCAATCCATTCATGTTTAAGAATTCGTTCAAACCATTTATGACGATTTTCGAGACTACCAGAACCAATCACCGAACTTGAATGAATTTGATTTAAATGTGCAACATCGGCACCATTTTCCGGTATTTCTTGCATATGACAATTTGCATAATGTTCAGTTCGACCATAAAATTGCCATTTTCCTGACGCAATTTCATCAATAATTTCGGGTTGCCATTCTGGTTCCTCATCATCAACATGATACCAAACAAAAATAACGCCATTCACTTCTAAACTTTTCCACATTTTAAGCTTAGCATTAGGAGTATTATCTGAAAACAACCTGTAATTAGATTCACCATTCACTGATTACAATTTACCCGATTTTTTTTACCTTCATACGGCACATCCACACAATTACCATCGGATATCCGGAATGCCCATGAATGGAATGGACAAATGATACAATCTTCTTTTTTATGTTCACCATTTTTACTGCATTTGACATGACGCTGTTCAATGATACCACCGATAGCTAGATTTGCTCCTAAATGTGGACAATATGCATCAAATATATAAACCTGATTGCTTGGAGCACGAACAACGACCAATTCTCGTCCAAAACATAGTATTGATTGTAACTGATTAAGTTTCAATTTTCTTGATTCCAATATAGGTATCCAACCGTTTGGATTCAATGGTGGTAGTTGTTGATCGGGCAATATTCGTACATTATCCGGTATAACTTTATTTGAATCCTACATAAGATTATTCATGAATCATGAATCTTTTTTTTAATGAAAAATACCTACCATTATTACTTCAGTAAAAGTAATGAATTTATAAAGAAGATATATAACAAATATTATGAATAAAATGACCAAATGAAAATTAAATGAAGACAAATCGAAAATTGTTTGATAATCGAATGGCGAAAATTTTTCCATCATTTTTCCTTTTTTTGAATCTGGAATTTTCGAATGTTAACCGTTTGAGTGCAAGTTTCCAAATGATCATCTAATAAATGTTGATGGTTAATGTCAATGAAGTCACTTTCTATAAAAATCACTCTTCCTATCATTGATCTATAGTTATCAGCCAAATAAATTCCTTTTAAAACAGGTTCAAAGATTAAGAACAAAGAAAAAAAAGAACAAAAAAAAAGAATGTATACATGACCATGAGCTAATCATGTTGTACCATCAGTAAATGGTGTTGGTCGTTCAAAAGGACGTTGATGACCTTCGATTAACATTGAAATTACTGCACTGAAAAAAAACCATTGCCCAAAATAGTCAAAAATCGAAGTGGTCGTTCTTTTTTAGTCAAAATTGAAGTTAGTCGCACACAATTAGTCATTTTGATGAACAGTCGCAGTAAAATAGTCAAAAACACTAATAGTCACACTGCATTAGTCAAATTCAGAATTAGCCGCTTTCACGTTAGTCAAAATTCAGATTGGTCGGCCTTCATTAGTCAACATATTATATTAGTCGAGGAATTTTGGTCAAATTTCAAATTAGCCGGGATAGATTAGTCAACTTTAAAGATTAGTCGCATAAGGAATGGTCATCCGGTTATTAGTCATCGTGGAGCATGCTCACTTGATTATTTGACGGACTTGTAAAATTTTTGATTTTTTCCAATATTTATTTAACAATAGAAATTCACAGATATTTCNACTGCATTAGTCAAATTCAGAATTAGCCGCTTTCACGTTAGTCAAAATTCAGATTAGTCGACCTTCATTAGTCAAAAAGCAAATTAGTCAAGCTAGATTAGTAAAAAAAATTTTCAGTGTATGGAATTATCATTTGTCAAATCTTTTGGAAAAATTTACCAATATGGTTTGATTATTAATATTAATTAAAAATGGGTGATGGTGAATTTAAACCTGGCGTTGCAGCCATCATTATAATTGCCATTGGAATATTGGTAAATTCAAAAAATTATCGATTGATAATCATTTGATTCATTCATTTTGTTGATAATAATTTTTTGTATAGATTCTAATATTGTTGTTCATATTTGCTAAACGACAAATTATGCGTTTAGCACAGAAATTTCCAACTGATGGTCCACATGCTCCTATTGGTTATGCAGCACCAAAAGAACTTTGCCATAAAATTGAACGTCGCCTGAATGATATTCGTTCGATTCGTCATGAACCAATTTTATTAAATTCGGATAATCCATACTGTTCGGAAGGTTTGTTTTATTGTTGAAAGATGAATCTTTTCAACATTAATTTTTATTTTCGAAATAGAAAACGCAACAAAATATAAACATATTTATCGAATGAAAACGGTTGATAATTTAAAAGATTTAGAAAAATTTATCATTGATTCATACGGATCGGATGAAACAAAACGTCGCCATCCCGATCAAGATCTACGTCAATATCTTCTTAATCTTCAACGTGAAAATGGACCAATGAGTCACTGTGATCCTATTACAATCAATGAATTAGTCGATATTTATCTACATGCACGTTTTAATCCTGAACCAGATTTTGGTCCAGAACATTATCATCGTTATCATGTCTTAATGGAACGGATAAAGGAACAAATTATTCCAAAAATTTCTGAAACAACATCTGAACGAACATCACCAACAAAAGTGGTACAAAGAAAAGGTATAGGCAAAGGTTTGACGACAAATCTTTCATTTAAAAATCTTACTAATCTTTCATCATCATCATCATTATCAACAACAATGATGGCTAAAGATAATAATATTGGTGCTGGTAATATCAATAAAAAAACAGATGAAACATGTGTTTAATTTGTAAAAAAATTTGTAAATATGAAATGAATGAAATAAAAATTATTTATCGTTTTTTGATATGTTTTTTAAATTTTTCAAACATATAATTATCCAATGGTTTATCTTTGCCCGGCATACGATTATCTTTTTCCATAGGTTTCGGCAATCGTACTTTAAGTGGTTCATCACCAATAACTACTACCGGTTCAATATCATATTGTTGTACAGGTTGTTGTTGATGTTGATCACGATGATGTGATTTACCTTGTGTTTTACGTTCTTCTTTATCGATAAAATGGCTAATCAGATCGTTATTCTCTGTCGGCATTGAATGTAAATTGAATCGATGATTGGGCATCGAATTATTACCACTATTATTACTGGTTGTAAGTAGATTATTTTGACGATAATTGAAACAAGATGCTAGATTTTTCGGTGCAAATGATAAATCTTTCATAGGATTATTTTGATCGGAATTCGGATCGGCAAGTTTTTCCATTTCACGTTGTACACGTTTTTCAATCAATTTATTTTTCGCTGTTTCAGTTTTTTCAATATTTTTGATTCGTTCTTCAATACCGAGATCAACTTCAGGTATACCGGATAACATTTGTGATGAAAGCATTTCTTCATTTTTAGATTTTGAATTATAAATCAATTCTAATAAATGATCGGGTATTGCTTTTATAAGAAGATCTTTTGTCAAATCTGCCGGTTGTAATGCTTTTTCATTACGACCATTATTTTCATTAGTAATAGTTGATCGGCGTTTAGCTAATTCTTCATCAACATATTTCATCATTTCAGCATCTTCATCACGACGATTTGTTTCAAGACTAAACGTATTACCCAAATCTAATTCATTGGCCAATAATGTTTTTGAATCGGTCAAACCGAATGATTTTTTTTCATCAATTTTTTCGCCATCATTCTTTTTAGTCGTAGTCATATCATGTTTTAATAGATCCATTACATCGATACCTTTTGTAATACGTTTTCGAGCTTTTTGTAATTCACGTAATTCATCCAATGTTGTCCAATCAATTGAATCATCATCTTTTGTATTCGAATCATTATCACCATCATCATCATCATCGATTTTGATTGTTTTTATGGTTTCAATTTTACGTTTACGTTTTTTAAATACAATTGTTTTATTCGTCGATGTTTCATTATCATCATTATTTTGATTATCATCCATTATGTTAGCCAAAACAAATTTTGTGATCAATAAACAACATTCGGACATTGTATATGAAGAGGACACCAAGTGAAAATAAAAAAACATCTCAAAATTTTAAATGATTTATTTTTCATATCAAATAACCAAAAAACTTGATGAGCTTTTAATTATTTTTCCGATAAACAATTTTTATGTAAAGAAAACAAAATCAAGAAATAAATTAAAATCATTGTTTTTTTTTATTCGAAAATCAATTCGAATCGATCTATAATTGGAATTAAAACGAGTCAAAAAAAATACAAACATTCATAATCATTGTAGAAAATATGATTTAAATAAATGAAATATTTTAAAGAAGATAAAAAAAATTAATTAAAAAAAACAATTGTGATATTCCAATTAATCAATTTTTATTTTGAAATTGATTTTTTTTATTATTATTATTCAGATTTTACAATTCAGATTCAGCACAGCTATACATTTTACGGCAATCACCACCACTACGGCCAATACGTGCAGCATCATAATTAGAATTGAATGGTGACATTTTTTGATTATCCAATACATAGCTTGATGCATACCTTTAGGTTGTGGATCAAATAGGAATTTATTAATAAGATTTTTTTTTGTTGAATGAATTTTGTTTGGAAACTTACCCTCCAATCTGTGAAATAACCGAACCAAGTTCACGTGATTCTCGTGCTGCATTCGAAGCAGCATCGCAAATATGTCTTTGAATACATTTTGTATCAGTGGCTAAAAATGATCGTACAAAACCTTTCATCATTGTAATACCAGCAATTGCTGCATCATCAAGTGAATCTTTTAGTCCACGTTCATCATTAGCCAATGAACGGCCATTACGTCGTTGTGCAAAATTTGTTTTAACCATATCCAATACTTTGACCAAAAGATTTAATACCTGTCTTGATGTAGCTGTACTTTCTTCACTTGAACCGAATACAAGTTTAACAATTGTTTTAACAATATTTTTTGTATTTAAAAATTGTGACACTTCATTTGTTGCCAATGCATTTTCTTTTTCCATTCGAAATGATTTTGCATGACGTGATGATCGGCTATATGATAGGGTACTATTCGAATCGGATTTCATTTCCGTACAATCGATGATTGTGACAAAAGTGATGATCGAAACGGTAAACAGAATGATGGATTTTGGATTCATTTTTTTTTTCCGGGAGAATTTATCTAATTCGCTGACAATGTTTAACACAAACACCAATTAATCAATCAATCAACTAATAATAACAATTGTAGAAACGGTAGAAATAGAATCGAATAAAAATTATATCGAACTGACCGAATGGAATGACCAAACACAAATGATGATGATGATCATCAACATCATCGATGACCATCTTCATCAATAGATCATTATTTTCTCTAAAAATATCATTGAACTAGATTTTTTCTTGACTTGATTTTCTTATTTCCCGTCTGAACTATCCTATATACAAGACAAGTTTTTTTTTGTTGGTATTTGCCTTGAAAATTCAGAAGAAGAAAAATAAATATAACGGTAACAAAAAAAATCAAGAAAACCAGTATGATTTTCAAACAAACTTGTAGATTCTTTTCAAAGCTAATTATGCATGCATGCAAACAAACAAACAAACGAAGAAAGACAAAGATAACAGTGAAAAAAAAAACGGGAACAAACAATTTTTTTCATGTGTGTGAATCGTTTTTCAAGTTTGGCCACATACCGGTCTACGAATATCGTTTATTATACGAATTTTGACCTCAATTGACTTATAACCAGAAATGAATGAATGATTTTTTTTCTTTTTAACCAAAGGTAATTCAACATGGATAACTATTTATAGCCATAAATTGTAATCATTAACTAAACACATCTATTTGTTTCATTAAACAAATCAGTGTGAAAGATGAGAAAAAAAAGTCTACTGATTGATTATTGAATCAGATCCGGTTGTTGTTTTTTTTCACCTTGATCAATGATCAAGCTTCATGAAGCTTTGTATCCCACGATTATCATTTTTTTTTGGGGGGGGAAAGATGCCAATATTTACGGCTATTATTAGCTAAAGGGCAATTATGAATATTATATTCAAGTTCAAGGTAAATAAGGTTGGCTAATAATTAGGCTGATTAGGCTGATTTTTTGGCCGAGAAACAAATTGATCGATTTGTTTCTGGAAAAATAATTAGCTATGAATCGATCGAAAAGAAAAATCCTAGAAAAAAGGATTACACATTTATTTTCAAATGAATCAAATCACTTGACTAATTGAAATTGCTTTAGCAACAGAAAATCTTTGGTTCAGTTTGTAGAATTTTATGTTGTTTTTCCTGTTTTTAATTCATTCGAATTAATCAATTTTAAAGCGGAATCGAAAAAAAATGTTGTTACTAGATGAATTTCCTGTAATTATCATTATCATCAACAACGACCGGAGAATAAAAGTTTGAATAATGGCAATTTCTTTTCAATAAAAGCAAACTAATGAATGATATGATATCAATGATAAAATATTTGTTTCAATTATGATAATAATAATTTAGATATATTAATCTTTACAATGTTTTCTTTTCTTTTTTTTTGTTTGTTATTATTATTTGAAAATCAGAAGTTATATTAATTAGCTTATCATCATATGATTATGATTATGAAAAAATTTCAATTCATCATATATTGAATTACATCGAATAAGAAGAAGAAGAAGAAGAGAAAGAAAAGAAACACAATCGATTTGAAATCATTTCATTTTTTTTCCTCATTTTCAAATATCGATTTTGATCGATAATTTTTTTTTTGATGGCTCAAATTTCATTCTTTAATTAGTAGTGGTGGTGGTGGTCGTCGTTGTCATCATGGTGGTGGTGGTGGTGGCGATACTGGAATTTCATATTCATAGTTATACACGCATTTGGCTTATGTTTTGTGGACAACCTTGAAACAATGGTTGTAGATTGTCATACCATCCATTGAAAGTATGAACATATATGCAAAAACACACGCACAGGCACGATGCAATGATGCATGATTATTGTCATGCCGGCAACTATACCACCACCATGATTTTAACCATTAGGATCATCATCATCATCCAACAACAGCTAAATTTCATATTCAAATGAATAAATGTACTCCGAATGCACACCGACAAAAAGCAAAGCATTGAAGCTTTCGATTGATCAAGCATTGAAATTGTTTGGTAAAAAATTGATTGACATTCATTACAATTTAAATCATCATTCAGTGATCATCATTGTCTTTATAGATTTCAATTTATCGTTTTTTTTCTTCAAAAAATTTTATTCTTTCAAATTAAATTAGTTAGATTTTTATTCAATAATTAATTAATCAATCAATAATGGCAATGACCAAAGAAATTTCTCAACAATTACAAGATATTGCAAATCGTTTGCGTATCAATTCAATTCGTTCAACTAATGCGGCTAAATCCGGGTATATAGAATTAAATTTGATTTTTTCCTTCAATGAATTATCATAAATTTTTCCATTTAAAAAAAACCAAACAGCCATCCAACATCATGTGCATCAATGGCTGAAATAATATCAGTTTTATTCTTTCGTACTATGCGTTATTCGATCGATAATCCACGTGGTCCATCAAATGATCGTTTTATTTTGAGTAAGTGTTGGGAATGAAAAAAAAATATAAATTTTGTTTCAATTAATAATTTGGCATTTAAACCATAGGCAAAGGTCATGCTGCACCAATTTTGTATGCTGCCTGGGCTGAAACTGGTCTATTCCCAGTTGAAGATTTATTAAATCTTCGAAAAATTAATTCCGATTTAGAGGGTCATCCAACACCACGTTTGAATTTTGTTGATGTTGCTACCGGTTCATTGGGTCAAGGTTTATCGATTGCTGCCGGTATGGCTTATGTTGGTAAATATATCGACAAAGCTCCATATCGTGTTTATTGCTTGCTTGGTGATGGTGAATCTGCTGAAGGTTCGGTTTGGGAAGCATTATCATTTGCTTCGAAATATAAGCTAGATAATTTGGTTGCCATAATCGATGTAAATCGATTGGGACAAAGTGAACCGACTGCATTTGGTCATGATATGGCATTGTATAAAGCACGTGTAGAAACGTTCGGTTTCAATGCAATTGTTGTCGATGGTCATGATGTTAATGCTTTGGTCGAAGCTTTTAATCAAGCATCTCAAACAAAAGATCGTCCAACTGCTGTGATTGCTCAAACATTCAAAGGAAAAGGACTTACCGAAGAAATCGAAGACAAAGTTCAATGGCATGGAAAACCATTGGGTGATAAAGCTGAAGCCGTTATTGCTCAAATTCAATCACGAATCATATCATCAAAAACAACTTTGAAACCTGAACCACCTGTTGTCAATGTTCCTGAAGTTGATCTCAGTGTACGATTGGCAGAACCACCAAATTATGTAAAGGGACAAAAAGTAGCCACACGTGAAGCTTACGGTACAGCATTGGTTAAATTGGGTAAAAGTTGTCCACGTGTTATCGGTTTGGATGGTGATACCAAAAACAGTACATTCTCTGATACTTACCGTAAAACATTCCAGGATCGTTTCATCGAATGTTATATTGCTGAACAGAATTTGATTGGTGTTGCTATCGGAGCCGGTTGTCGTCGTCGAACAATTCCATTTGTTTCGACATTTGCATCATTCTTCACTCGTACATTCGATCAACTCCGAATGGGCGCCATTTCACAAGCGAATATCAAATGTGTTGGATCACATTGTGGTGTTAGCATCGGTGAAGATGGTCCATCACAAATGGCATTAGAAGATTTGGCCATGTTTCGTGCTATTCCAAATTCATTGGTATTTTATCCATCAGATGCCGTAAGTGTTGAACGAGCCGCCGAATTAGCTGCACAATATCATGGCATTACATTCATTCGAACATCACGACCGGCAACACCAATTATCTATTCGAATGATGAAGTATTTGCTGTCGGTAAAGCTAAAGTGGTACGATCATCAAAAGATGATCAAATCCTTTTGATTGGTGCATGTGTTACATTATTGGAAGCATTGAATGCTGCTGATTTATTGGCTAAAAATCATAATTTTCATGCAAGAGTGATTGATCCATTTACGATCAAACCAATCGATCGTGAAACTATTATCAAAAATGCTCAAGAAGTTGGTGGCCGTATTATCACTGTTGAAGATCATTATCCTGAAGGTATGTATTCATTAATTTGATTAATTATTTATTTGAAATCATTTTTTCTTTATTCACACACACACAGGTGGTATTGGTGAAGCTGTTGCCGGTGTTATTGCCGATCAACCAAATCTAATTATGAAACGTTTGGCTATTCGTGAAATACCAAGAAGTGGTCCACCAACTTTATTGATTGAAAAATATGGTATCGATGCAAAAACAATTGTTAAAACAGCATTAGAAATGATTGAGAAAAAATAATTAATACCAAAATTATCCAAAAAAAAAAATGTAGTCCACATTTTTTTCTAATGAAAAAGAATGAATTAAATTTTTAATTATATAAATCAAAGTTGAAATGAAATGGCAGTCATTATAAAAAACAAAAAACGAAAGAAAGAAAGATACAAAAACAAACATTATCTGTTTGTAGAATGCTCGAATGTTTTTTTTTCTAAAAAAAAGTGTGATTGATAAATGTTTTTTTCTAAAAAAAAAGAAATGAAATTTTTTTTTTGTTTAAAAAAAAAGTTATTGAAATGTTAATGAAATTGTGAAAAATATCCATCATAATGATTATTGGCAAACATCAATAGATCACCATCACCACCATCACCTTGATTACGATTATAATAACCACCAACATTATTATTAGTATTCACACTTGTCATTGTTGAATTTGATTTTTCCGACATTGAATCATAGTCCCATGACCAGATACTACTTGGTTCATTTGTTATCATTGAATGATTATTTGATGTATCCGAAACACTAATGTTATTACGAAATCGTCGTTGTTGTTGTTGTTGTACGGCACGATGTTCAAAACCATTTGCAAGATTTTGACGATTTTTTGGACAATAAAGAAATGTATGTGCAAAATCACCACCACCATTATTACATTTTGGACAATTATAAGCACGTAATTTTGGACAAGTAATACGTTTTTGATTATCTTTAAGCCAATGATCACGATAATTAATACCCAATTCTGGTTGTAAATTTTTACAAAATGAACATTCCATACGACCATTTTGATAATGATTTTTATTGTTGTTTGTTCGTGATTGTTGTTGTTGTTGTTGTTGTTGTTGTTGCATTGATTTTTCAGAATTTTTCATCATCATCATCATTGATGATGATGATGATTCATTATTGACCATATTTTCATCATTATTATTATCATCATCAAAATACATCGATGCAATTTGTTGCTGTTGTTGTTGTTGATAACGATTATCCAATTGTTCCCAACCATAAAGATTATAATATTCAATATTACGTCCAACTAATTTTCGTTTACCTACTATTGGATAAACATTTGTTTCATAAATGAATGGATGATTTGGATCAGATAATGATGATGATTGTTGTTGTTGAACACCATAATCACTATCATTCAATACCAATGAAATAGATGTAGCCACTGGTGATGGTAATGGATTTGTCAAATATTGATTAGCTGATGATGATAATGAATTTTTTGATTCATATGAATCGGTTGCCAAATTATCAAAACGAAATATATTTCGTTGATTATTATTATCCATAAATGTCGGTGATAATAATGATTGATTATTAGCCATTTTAATTGAATTCAAACGATGAACATGATGATGATGATGCAATGCAGCTTTTGATGTTCTTGAATACAATGATGGTGATGATAATGGTGATGGCATTCGACCAAAACAAAATCGTAATCCAGAAGTAGCCATTTGATAAAAATTTTTTTTTTTTTTGAAGAAAAAAAATCCACAAACGAAAATTGACAAAATTAAACAGTAATTAAAAGTAATTTTTCAAATTTAAGAAAAATAAAAATTAAAAGGATCAATTCAAACGAAAGTAACAATTTGAATGAATGAATGAAAGAAAATTTTCGAAAACAATCCACACACAAAAAAAAATTTCTCAATGAAACAAAAGCTTGAAAATAAGAATGAAAACAACTTAGTAGAATGCAAATACCATCGTGTGTTTATATACTATCCAATTTTTTTTTTTAAAGTTTCAAAAAAACGAAATTATTACGTTGGTATTTCACCCCCCACTTTTTTTCATAATCAAAATATATGTGTGTGTGCGGGATGTGAATGATTTCATCATCGACTTTTTTTATACATCTATACCAACATACATGTATAGTTTGATGTAGAAATAGTAGCATTAATAAACATTGAATATTCTTCCCCCCATTTTTGCCTATTCTCAAAAATACATTGTCGAAAAAAAAGAAAAGAAAAGCTAATGTTATTATTGTATCTGTATGATTGATGATGATTTTAGATGATGAGTTCGATTTGAGTCATTATGACTCATTTTAGTATCAGAAAATAAAAATGGATCATGTAAATATGATTTTGTTCGTTTTGTTCGTTAAGTTTTCGAAATTGGAAGCCAAATAGTGTGGTTGAATCATGATAGCGATGATGGTAGTGTGGTGTACGATGGATATATGGGGGAGAAATAAATTCCGAGGAATTTTTTCATTTTCGAATGATTATTTTTGTCAATGTTTTTATCGTTTTTTGTTGTTGTTGTTGTTGTTGTTGTGAAATAGAAATTTGATTTTACGTTACTATCACTGAATGAGATGGCCAAAAAAAAATTTTCGAAAACTTTTTTCCTGGAATTTTGGTTGTTTTTTATGTTTCGATTTTCCGGGTTTTTCTTTAGTGAAAAAGAAAAGTCAAAATTAATTGCTACATTCAGCCAAATTGATGAGCTAAAATTGATCGATTTAAAAGAATTTAAAACATTTGTTTATTCGTTTTTTATTATTCTCATCAGGATTTATTAGCCATTTTTTTAAGTGTATCAATTTTTAATGATTGATTAACCAAAACGAAAACAAAACATGAACTTATTAATATGTCCCATTCAAATAATACGTTATTATGATAAGCGGATGTAAAATATGAGCGTGTAACATTTGGAAAAAGTGATATGAGGGAGAAAGAGGAAAGAAAAAAAATATATATTTCATCTTACACAGTTGATAATATGAATATTTTAAAAGTAAAATTTAAAAAATAAAAAGAATTTACAACAACAAAAAAACACATTGCGTGTGTGTGTGNATGATGAGTTCGATTTGAGTCATTATGACTCATTTTAGTATCAGAAAATAAAAATGGATCATGGAAATATGATTTTGTTCGTTAAGTTTTCGAAATTGGAAGCCAAATAGTTTGGTTGAATCATGATAGCGATGATGGTTAGTGTGGTGTACGATAGATATATGGGGGAGAAATAAATTCCTTGGAATTTTTCATTTTCGAATGATTATTTTCGTCAATGTTTTTATCGTTTTTTCTGTTGTTGTTGTTGTTGTGAAATAGAAATTTGATTTTATATTACTATCACTGAATGGGATGGCCAAAAAAAAAATTCGAAAACTTTTTTCCTGGAATTTTGGTTGTTTTATTTTTATATGTTTCGATTTTCCGGGTATTTCTTTAGTTAAAAAGAAAAGTCAAAATTAATTGCTACATTCAGCCAAATTAATGAACGAAAATTGATCGATTTTAAAGAATTTAAAACATTCGTTTATTCGTTTGTTATTATTCTTATCAGGATTTATTAGCCATTTTTTTTAGTGTATCAATTTTTAATGATTGATTAACCAAAAAGAAAACAAAACATGAACTTATTAATATGTCCCATTCAAATAATACGTTATTATGATAAGCGGATGTAAAATATGAGCGTGTAACATTTGGAAAAAGTGATATGAGGGAGAAAGAGGAAAGAAAAAAAATATATATTTCATCTTACACAGTTGATAATATGAATATTTTAAAAGTAAAATTTAAAAAATAAAAAGAATTTACAACAACAAAAAAACACATTGCGTGTGTGTGTCTGTGAGGTGTGGTGTGATGTAATATTTTGCCAGTAAAATAAACAGAATTTTTTTTTTTAAATACTTTTCATCAATAAACAGCAACAACAACAACAACAACAACAGATAATTTTTCAAAAATCCAAAAATAAAAACCGTATATCGAACAATTTTGGTAAAAAATAAAAAAAAGGGTTATTCTTTTTTTTTCTTCAAAAAAAATGCATTTCATTTTTATTCGATTGATTTGATTTTTGATTTGATTTGGTACAATAAAAGTGTTAATAATAATAATAATAATAATAAGTATCTTAACGGTATGTGATGGGTGAATGTATCGATTGTTTATCGATACATTTCAGGATGTTTGTATGACATGAGTTTGTTTTTTGATTACAAATTATTATTATAATTATAATATTTTTTATATATCGATAATATAATTATTTAGATTAATGATAATAAGATTAACGAAAACAATTGAATGAGAAAAAAATAGATTCTGTTTATATGATTATATAATTATCGCTTTGTTTGTTTTTTTTGCATAAAATTATAAAGAATTTTTTGAAAATATCGATTCTTTGTGAACGAGAAAAATTTAAAGAGAAAAAAGAAATCGAATTGAAATCAAAAAAGAAAAAACACAGATAAAATTGAACTTGGAGAGGATTGAAATAGAGAGAGAAAAAAAAGATTACATAATCAATTTATTCCAGAAAGAAAAAAGGTGGACGGTGTTTTTTTGTTGTTGTTTAGTTTTGGTGGCTGAATGGTTAATGCAAATGTTGATGATGATGATGATGATGAAAATTCGATGGGAAAAAAATTGATAACATTGAAATGGATATTGGGTATCGTGTTTAATTTAAGGTAAAAACAGGGTAAATATGAAACAATTGTTATATATGCACAGACATTGGGCAAAAAAATTTCAAAAAAAAAAGAAAAAAGATTGTCATCAAATTATTAAATTTTCAGGTTGCTGTTGTTGTTGGATTTTGTTAATTAATTTGTTTGTTTGTTATTTTAAATTGAAATTATTCATTTAAAAATTCTAAATTCAAGAGAAAGATTGATGATGATGATGATGATTGGTGATGAAGAGAAAACAAAATTAGAGATCGATCATCATTGGAAAAAAAAGAGATGGTCCACATTGAACAACAACAAATATACCCACACACAAACATTATTCTCTATTATCGGTGTATCAGCAGCCTTTTTTTTCTCCAGAATTTTCAGATGTTTAAATCATCATGTAATAAATAATTTAAGAAAAAAAAAATGTTTGTAATGATAAGCAAAAGAACAAAGAAAAAAAATGATAAATGAAAGGAAAACATTAATAATTTACAAAAAAAGAGAACAAAATACAAACAAAAATAGATTGGATTTTTTTTATCCGAATATTCGTCAACAGAATATTGATTCTGGATTTTTCAACAAAAAAAATTCATCATCACGAATTGTGTGGGTAGATTAAGTTCTGTGATAGTTTGTTGTGTGATCTTATCTGATGATGATGATGATGACTTTCAAATTGAAAAAATGATTTTGATTTAAATCAAAATTTCAAATCACGAACAATAAGAGAGAGAGAGAAAAAAAAAGAAACAGAATTTTCGATTTTAATCAAAATTCTTAATTCATTATTATTCTGCATTGTTGTTGTTGTTGTTGTTGTTACATTTGTGGTTGACATATGGTTCAATGATGAAAATCATTCGATTCCTTTCCAATAATGCAAAGAATCCGATTGATGATTATTTTTGTTTGTTTGTTTGTTTGTTTGGTTAGTTATTATTGTTTCATTTTTAATTAAACTTATTGATTGATTGATGAATTTGAAAATTGATTTTATCAATAACAGATGATGAATGAATATGTTTGTGTGTGTGTTTGTGAGAGAGAGAGAGAGAAAAAAAATAGAGAAAAACAAAACAAAAAAAAAATGATAAAAGAATCAAGCAGGCCAACCATCAGCAGTAACACGTATACGTTTACCAATAGGTCCTTCATAATCAGAACTACCCGATGGATCAGGAGATGATGATGTTGATGGTGTTAATGGATGTCCTGGTGATAAATGACCTGATTGTTGATTACCGGATGTTGGTGGCCGTTGTAATGTTGCCAATTGATGTGATGTTGTTGTTTGTTGTGTAGCTGCTGATGCTGATGATGATTGTTGTGATGATGATTGTTGTGTTGTTTGGCTATTATGAACATTTTGTTGTTGTTGACCACCATTCGTTGATGTTGTTGATTGTTCATGACGTTGTGGTGATATTGGCTCATTTTTTATCTTCATCGATAATGGTGATGTTGATGATGGTGGTGGTGTACTACTACTCACTGATAAATGTGGTAATGATGAACTTTTTGTAAAACAAAAAACAAAAAAAAAATTAAAATTTACTTTTAAATCGAAAATCAAAATCTTACCTCGGATGTGAAAGACTTAAACCACCACCACCAACATTACCTCCAGCTAATGAATGTGTCGACCAATTCGGTAATAGACCAGACGAATTAAAGCTTGCTAATGCTAATTCATGATTAATATTTTGAAAATCATCTAATTTTTTTGTTTGTAAAAAAAAATCATTAAAAAATTTATAATTAAATTAATCAAAATTAATTAACAAACTTGTAACAAACGATGATAATGAGGACGGATAACCACCACCACCACTAGTCATACCCTGAATCGATTGTGATAATGATGTTAGATTCTGTTGTTGTGTACCATTTAGATTGCGATGATTCTGAATTTTTTTTTTTAAATTTAAATTTTAAAATTGAGAAATTTTTTGGGGAAAAAAAATTTATGAAAAACTAACCATATTTGCATGCGAATTTGACATGACAATATTTCTTGACATATTATTATTGCCTCCACGATTATTATTATTATTATTCGTCGTTGTCGTTGTCGTCGTTTGTCCACCATTATTTTGATTATTTCCATTCGTAATTGATTTATGATGATGATGATTATGATTATGTTGTTGTTGTTGTTGATGATGATTACCCATTGATGATTTTAAAAGATTCGGTGAATTACTATTATTATTATTATTACCAGATGGTGAACATGAACGATGATGATAACCATTTGTTGCCGCTGTTGTTGTTGACGTATTACTTGTTAATTCAATCATTGCGCCTATTTTTTGTTGTTGTTTGGATCAATTTTTTTAAAATTAAAAATTTTGTTTGTTTGTTTTTTTGTTTCGTAAAAAAAACATACCAGATGAACTTGGTCTTGGACTAACACATGATGAATGAGGTGATAATTGCTGTGTTTGTAACAGACTAGAATCTTGAGGCGCATATGGAGATGATGAATTTAATGAATTTAAATTGATGGGAATTTGTGTTAGATTACCGTTACCGCCACCACCACCACCACTTGACGTTAATCCGGTTGGTGTTGACTGTTTCAACAACAACAATAAAAAAAATGATAATCAAATAAATTATTTAAATGAAACAAAAAAATAAAACATACTCTATTGCCATTGATATGCGAATTACGTTGTTGCATCATTAGCTCAAAATCATCATTTAATTTATATTTATTTTCATTACGATTCGGTGTTAATGTATATTGTGAATCATCCGGTTCAGGACTATCACAACCATTTGATGATCCTTTATGTTCTTTTTTATTTAATGCCTAAATGAAAAAAATGAAAAATGAAAATTATTCAAAAATGAATTGGAATTTAGCGGAAAAATTGATTCTTACCTCAACAATATCGCTATTTGTACGACTTTCATGTGGTTCATTATATTCAGTATATTTTAATAATACTTTATCCATATCAGTACTTGCATATTGAAATAATTTATTTGTACTATTAAATATGATTAAGGCAATCTCACAATCACATAGTACACTTAATTCATATGCTTTTTTCATTAGACCAAATTTTCGTTTTGTAAATGTAACCTAACAACAACAATATATATGAAAATGAAAATCAAATGAAAAATTAGTGACTGAATTCAATAAAAAAGAAAAGAAAATTGTCATCAAATTCAGATTTGTCCGGGCGTCAATACTGAAATTTTTCTTTGAAACAAATAAATGATATTCATTTGTCAACCAAACAATATCTGAAAACAACATTTTTCTTAGAATAGAATCAAAATGATGGACAATTCAAAAAAAAAATTATTGTTCCTTAAAATAATTTAATTTACCTGACGGTTACGTTCATCAGTGATGCGAGATATTTGTATCTTTTTTCTTCCCATTTTTTTTTTAAATTTTCAATTTATAATTGTCTTTTTTCTTCTTCAATAATTGTTATTTTTAGGGTGTGTGTGTGTACGAATGCAAAGTTTCTTCTTATTAGTTTGAACTGTTTTTTTTTGTTGTAAGAGATTCAAATTCAAACAAATAAATTGAATTTAACTCGTTGATAACACAGATGATTGAATTTTGTACTTTAGATTTTACAGATTTAAAAATAAGAACAAGAATAAACAACACAAAAACAGAAGAAATGAAATTTTCGATCCAAAAACAGAATAATAACAATGTAGATATTTATGTCATCAGAAACAGAATCTGCTGGTTGTTGTTGTTATTGATTTCTGTCTTGAGGCTTTTGATTGACATTTTTTTCTTTCAATCAATCAATGAAGATAATAAAGATTTACAGCAACATTTTTTTTGCACTTTCTAATTTTATTTTCTGCTGGTTATTATCGAATGGTGGTTGATTGATTAGTGAACTAAATTGTTTGATGAATGAATTCAATTTTCGTTTTCGTTTATTATTCGTCACTTCGTTTGATTGAATTCGATTCAAAAAATGATAACAAAACAACACAAACGATGTTGCATTTGGTTGAAACATGCAAATTTCCAAAAGAAAAAAATTTATCAATCCATCAATTGATTGATGGATTGATTCATTGATTGATTGATTGATGAAAGTAAACAACAATTATCACATCATCAATGGATAATAATAATAACAGGGAACGAAAATCAAAAGTTTCTTTTTTTTCGGTGATGCAGAATTAGTGAATGAAAAAAAACCCCGTTTTTCTTTGGGTAAACAACAACAAAACAGTGACAAAGTCGATTGATTCAAAAAAAAAATCGGTTAAAGATGCTTGCAGCTGATGTTATATTTTCAAATTGTTGTTTTTGTTGTTTTCGATTTTTGCGATCACATTCGATAATTTTTGATTGATAAGAAGAAATTGATAAAATAATGAAATAAACAGTTTTTTTCGTTTTTCACTTCTTCTTTAGGCCAAATGTACGAATTTTTTGTTTTCTATTCAGTTTTGTTTTTGCTTAAATTTCACGGCCAATATGTGTTGACTATTTTCTTTCAAGTTGTTCAGGTGGATGATGTTCAACAATTTTTTGTTTTTGGATCAAACGGATCTATTGAAAATAAATGAGAAAAAATGGATATTATTAGATCGGATGTAAAGCAAAAAAGTTTATTTGTTTATTTTTGGGATAATTTATTCAGTAATCAACATCATTGATGAAATTTAATGAATAACGGTTAACACCAAATTGATCGATCAATTGATTATCAACATCTTTATCGTTTGATAATGATAATCATAAACGGAAAAAAATGTGAATGGCCGAATACTTTTCAAGATCAATCAATTTTGATCAAGGTTGTGATTTTTGGATTTTTTTTGTTGTTGTTGTTCAAATTTTGAATTTCAAATTTTCATTATCAAATTTTCGCTCAATTTGTTTTTTTTTTCATTCGCTAATCAAATAACCAGAAATTTTTTTCGTTTTGTTTTTGTCTTTCCCATCAATTTTCATACGAAAACAATCGAATCGAATTGAATTTGTACGTTTTTTTCTCTCTTTAATTCATTTCATTTCGGATTGTTTTTGTTTTTTTTCAATCAATGAAAGACGATACGGTTTGAATATTTTTTTTTCGTTTTGCCAATTTAATTTTCCAATTCAATTTTATCAACAACAACAACAACAAGAGATTTGTATCGNATCTATTGAAAATAAATGAGAAAAAATGGATATTATTAGATCGGATGTAAAGCGAAAAAGTTTATTTGTTTATTTTTGGGATAATTTAATCAGTAATCAACAACAACAACATCGATGAAATTGAATGAATAACGGTTAACACCAAACTGATCGATCGATTGATTATCAACATCTTTATCGTTTGATAATGATAATCATAAACGAAAATGTGAATGGCCGTATACTTTTCAAGATCAATCGATCAATATCATTAAGTATAAAAACAGTAAAATTTAACTTTGAACACACAGTTGCTATCAATTTTGATCAAGGATTTTTTTTGAAAATTTTAAAATTTTCATTATCAAATTTCAATTTTCGCTCAATTTGTTTTTTTTTATTCGCTAATCAAATAACCAGAAATTTTTCGTTTTGTTTTTGTTTTTTCCCATCAATTTTCATACGAAAACAATCGAATCGAATTGAATTTGTATAATTTTTTTCTCTCTTCATTTCATTTCGGTTTGTTTTTGTTTTTTTTTCGATCAATGAAAGACGATACGGTTTGGGATATTTTTTTCGTTTTGCCAATTTAATTTTCCAATTCAATTTTATCAACAACAACAACAACAAGAGATTTGTATCGACGGCATGAAACAAAAAAAAAAGAAGATGATAATAACAATGAAAACGACAAGATACAAATCAAATAGAGAGAGAGAGAGAAAAATTCAATCATCACTGAGAATTTGAATTTAAATTTGAATTTTTTTTTCTCTGAACAAAATAAGAAAAAGATGGAAAAAAAAGGTTGGAAGAAAAAAAGAATATTTGAAAATGTCATTTTTGGTTCATTGAATTTGAATTTGAAAAAAAAGTATGTGGGTGTGTGGATAATATAGCCAAATCAAATTATAAAATTGAATTTAAATTGTTAAAAAAGTGAATGGAAATTTGCCATTATTTTGCGCATATAATCATCGTATCGATGACAAATGATTTTAATCGATTTAAAAATTGAATGTCAAGCTTTTTATTCATTTTTTTTCTTCTTCATCTTCTTGTTGTTGAAAGATTGTTCTTCAACATTAAATGGGATGGCCCAGAATAAAAAGGTGATGATTGAAAAAACAAAAAAAAATGTTAATCAAAATCGATCAATGATCGATTAAGGGGTTAACACTTGTTGCTGCTGTTAACTGATTACTAATTGATTGATTTGGTTTTTCTTTTTCTATGATGAACATCATTCAAAAAAAAGAACCAGTTTTTCTTTTCGATATGCACCAAGAAATGATAATTTTTCTATAAAAAGAAATATTTTGTTTTTTTTGAAAATGTTGAAATTTGTTTTTCATAAAATCTTTACATTTGATGATAGTGATTATTGATTAGGGAAAATCTGATTACCTGTTTAATCTTTTTCCAGACAACCAAGAGAAAAAATACCTGATATTCTTTAAAATAGAGAAATAAATATCGAAAATTTTTCGATTGATTAACGCCAAAAGACTATCGATAACTTAATTAATCGATCAAATTTGTATAATTGCAAAGTTTAATTAATTCATTATTGTCTTCTTTCTCATCTAGGTGCAACTAATAGTTGATTGCAACTATTTTAAATCTTTGTTTAGGAAATTCTATTTCTATTTGTCAAAATGATTGAACAGAAAACAAAGTGTCAATCAAGAAAAAAATTATTTTGTTTATTGATTATAATTAACATATTTTTATTTATAAGATTTTTTCTTTCTCAATATTATGACGTAGTTATCGATTAATAATTGTTTTTTTGTTTTGTTTTTCTGCTTGTTTGTTTTACGGTTGTTTATTTGATTTGTTTATTTGTTTGAGGCTATAGAATTTTTTTCATTCATTCAAACAAACATTTCTGTATATATAGAATTCATGCAAACAAAAAAAAACAAGATTTTTTATAAAAAAAAATCGCAATCAAGGAGAAATTTTCAAAGAAAAACAAGAGAAAATTCATCTAAAGGTATAACCATCGTCATCATCATCATCATTATGAATTGGATTGATAATGAGATAAGCTGCTTGATCATCAACATTATAATCATTATAATCGACAACAACAACAACGCTGATGATGACGACAAAAACAAATATCAGTGAAGAACAAAAACAACGACATCATATTACATGATGATCATGATTTGTTGAATAAATTGAAATAAGAGAGAAATTGCATTGCAATCACACAGAAAACAAAATGAATTGCCTCTTCAGGTATGGATAATTGAAAAACACTTTAACACATAAACACACATCACTTATTAGTAAAATAAAATGACTATCTCTTTGCATTTTGTTTGTTAGTGTTTATGACAGAATTAAATTAAAATTAATATTTTTTTTGAAATCTTCAAAATTTAAAATCAAATTAGTTATGATTTTAAAAATTTACGAAGAAAAAAACAAAAATTTCTTTGGAAAAGTATATATTAGACACATACACACACACGAGAATATCAAATGTGAAAACATCATTCATCAGATGTTTGATGGATTTTAGATTTTTTAATTTAATGAAAAACAGAAAAATTGTATCAAAATCACCTGACATTGACATTGTTGAATATATATTTTTTTTTCGAATGACAACAACAAAAAATTCCTCATAATCATCATTACGGTAATATTCATCATTATTATTTTCGTGATAATGATCAAAATTGGAAGGAAAACAAAACCTTGAAAAATCATTGATACAAAAAAAAGATCATCTGTATCATGTGTGTTATACATTCAATTTTACAACAAAAAAAAAAGTTTTTCAGAAAAAAATTTCTAATTGATTTTTCTTCTTTTTTTTCATTAAGATTTTAGAATCAACAAAAAAGAAAAGAAAAGATTGTCATTAATAGTTAGTTGAAGAATTTTCCGCCTAAAATCTTTGATATTGGTTAATCCATTGTCTTAATGTACATACAATAGATGAATGTATTGGATTAGATTGGATAACTTGGACTTGACAACAAAGGGGGGAATTTTTTTCGGACTCTTTTCTTTGGTTAGATAATCCTGAAAATAATGATGTTGAAGATGATGATCTATTGTATCATCGAATATAATGGTTTGTTTGTTTAAATCTTTGAAAATTAATGATTGTGAACCAGAAACGAAAATAAAAAATCAGACGTAAAATCCATTTGCCATTCAACATTTTGATAATTTGAAGATTTGGATTTCCAAATACAAAAAAAAATTCATCAATTTAAATTCGTTTTCATTGATGACAATCTTATCAAATGAATGTCAACAACAACAACAACAACAACAACAACAACGAAGATAATCCAAATCCAAAAGATTGGGTCATTGGGTATTAAGAGCAAAAGTGTGTGTGTGTATTTTTTCAAAGCAAAACTTGTTATGATAAAAATCAGCTAATCTAACCCGAAAATCAGGTGAAATAAGCAAACACAAACGAAACGAAATATCATAACCGAAAACAGAACAGAACAAAAGTGAGGTAGTTAGTAAAGGAAAAAAAAAGGTCATCATCATCAAGATGATGATGATGATGATGATCATAGTCAAGACAAGAAA